ATTTAAACACAAAATATTAATTTTATGATTTCTTTATTTCTATATATGTTCTTCAACTGCAATTTTGCATTTTAAAAATCGTCGTTCATCCGTTAGTTATTGTAAAAAATTCAAATTGACGGATGATCATTGATTTTTTTTATTTAAAAAAGTAACAATTTATTTTTGAGAGTTTCCCTGTATTTTGCGTGAAAAAATAACCGACGAAAGTGCGTCGATTTTCTTTCTTAAGAAAATCAATGGCAACCCAACGAAGTCTATCGAGTTTCAACATTTTTTTATAGTGTTATTAATTAGCAATGATCATGATTTTTTTTTACTCGTATTTAGTTGAATGAAAAATTAGAAAGCTGGTATTTGAGTTAGTCCAAATAGATTAGATATGAAAATAAAATATGTGGTGTTATTTAATTTAATTAATTGTTTTAAAAAGAAAATCAACACACTTTTGTCGATTATTTTTCACACAATAATGTACTCTAAAAAATTTTAAAAAAAATTGATGTTCATCCATTATTTTATTTTTAAAAAAAAAGATATGACGTTGATTTTTAAAATGAAAAAGTGGAAATGAAGAACATAAATAAAAATGAAGAAACTTATCATTAAAAATACAACATAAAAAATTTCTTCATTTTTATTTACGTTCTTCATTTTAAAAATCCACGTAATATCTTTTCTTTTTTTAAAAATAAAATAATGGATGAACATCAATTTTTTTTAAAAAATTTACGGGAAACTCTCAAAAGAAATTGTTACTTTAAAAAAAATAATCAAAGATCATCCATTAATTTGATTTTTTACAATAACTAACGGATGTACGACGATTTTTAAAATGCAAAACTGCAGTTGAAGAGCATATATAGAAATAAAGAAATCATAAAATTATTATTTTGTGTTTAAATGGTACATAAAAAAAATAAGAGTTGAAGGGTTAACCTTTTATTATTTTTTAAAAAAATACTTTTTTTTGTATTTCACTCTCTTAGAGAAAGTGTGATGCACACACTCTACCACATCACTTAGAAGTGCTAAAATGAAACATAAAAATTAGAGTTAAAGAATTAAAATGGAACAAGATTGAGTTGGAGTGCCAAAATGAAATTTAGGAACAAATTTAAAGTTCTGCATATTGTTTAGCCTTTGTTTTATGAAGAAAAAAAAGGCAGCTAATTAAAGATAAAAAGGGGAATAAAGAAAATACAAGAAGGATGAATTTTGCCTTCCATAATAATGATAATAATTCCTCAAGAGACAAAACTTTTTATAGCTGGCATATAGAACTTCTGTTCCCCATTTAGCTTTCTAATTTTATTTTTTTTCTTTTTGTGATTTTTTTGATAATCAAAATGCCTATAATGTTTAGGTTGAAATTTTTTTGACCTTTGAAAAAAAAAGTGTTTTATTAAGATTGGGATCATCTTACATTATTTAAAGTTTAGCCCCACCTTGTAATCGCTTCAGATATATGAGTTTCGAGTTATAAAATTCAAATTGTTGAGGGTCTTAAATTAGCAATTATTAAAATCTAACTTCATATTTGATATTTAAATTTTGTATTTAAGCTTTGCCTCATATTTGAGATATCAAGTTTGTATTTAGGCTTTGGCAAAGCTTAACTTTTTAAATTAGAACTTCGATTTATCAAATTTCAGATATTTAAATATGAAGTTAGGTTTTAACGAACCCAACTTTAGACATCGAAGAAGAAGAAGAATATCAGTACTTAGTAGCAACAAGTTCAATCTGAAACATGGCTAAACTTTTAAATAGCTTTGAAAATGAATTATATTTTAAATTAACGCTGCTACAAACATGAAATTTGTTTGAGGTAATTATTTAGTAAACAATTTTTTTTTTTTAAATTATTACTCTTGCAACTTATGAACCTTTTAGATTACGGTTTTAAAATATTTTTTGAACAAACAGAATATTACATGATAGTAATAATTTATTGTGATGTGGAGCAATCGCAAACATTATAACCGAATCTAATATAGTCCAAAAGGGTAATTTTTCAAATACTATATTTGTACAATTTTTTAAGAAATAGAGGAAAAATTTAAATGATGGCCTAAAAAATAAGTATAACTTACATAAATATCATAGTGTAAAATCTGAATTACCTTTTATCCCTATTATTTTTATAATTACATAAATCTCATATTTTTTAGGCATTTTGGATACATAATTAAGGATCCGGATACATTATTGTTGATACATTATGTATCAATCTGTTGCACTTATTAAGGGGAAAAAACTGAAAAATCAAATTAAGATCTCATAGTATCCATTTGTTGCACTAATTAAGGGGAAAAAAAAGAGCTGAAAATCAAATTAAGATTCCATAAATTATTTTATTCCATTCCAAATTATTGTCAAGAATTCAAAATCCTATGGTGTAACTAACCAAAAAAATTCAAAAATTAAATTTATTCTTCTTGTTCATCGTTCTCTCTGTTTCATAAAAACTTTTGTCGAAATTTTGGATAAGCAAGGTGAGTTATGAAGGATACAAAAGTGATGGAATTGTTGTTGGACAAACGATTTCTTTTGTGAATCTTCAAGTTCATCGAATATCCTTTCGATTTTGATTCAAGATTGTCGAAAATTTTGAGATTCAAAAATTCTTCTCCAGTTCATTGAATATCCTTTCCGTTTTTGATTCAAAATTGTTGAAAATTTTTGAGTTTCAAAATTATTGAAAATTTTTGAGTTTCAAAATTATTCTCCTTAGTTCATTGAAGATTCTTTCAATTTTGATTCAAAATTATCAAATTTTTTGAGAAGATACATCATGAAGATCCTTTCAATTTAAATTGATAAGTGTTGTATTCCTACTAGATTAATTAAATAAGAAAGTGTTGCCCATAAGATTTTAGGTTTGAGATCGATACATTATTATTTGGTAATTGTCATGTATCAGATACATTTAGTATAAATTTGAATTTACGTATCATAACTAAAAAATTAGTGTATAATACATTATTATTTATGTATCTTATTTTGTTTGAGATCATGAACATCCTTTCAATTTAAATTGATAAATGTTGTATTTCTACTAAATACATTAAATAAGAAAGTGTTGCCCATAAGATTTTAAGTTTGAGATCGATACATTAATGTTTGGTAATTGTTATGTATCAGATACATTTAGTATAAATTTGAATTTACGTATCATAACTAAAAAATTAGTGTATAATACATTATTATTTATGTATCTTATTTTGTTTGAGAAATACTATATTTTAAAATAAAAAAAAGTATATTATACATGTAATTGTTTCAAAATAGCTTCTTTTTGTATGTGTGATAAATAACACAAAGTTTATGTATCAAGTACATTTATATTGAACATGATAAACACTAATCAAAGATTCAACAACATTAGAGTTATGTATCAATACCTTAAATATGAACATTATACATTGCATAAAACAAAGGTTATTGTAGCAGTGATGTATCAGATCAATGATAACACTAACAAAGACTAATTTAAGACTCATAATAAACGAGATACATAAAAAATC